TGGCCCATTGAGAGCCATTGTCCCAAAGGACCTCGCTAATTATCATGTCCACGGTAATAATTGCATACACAGACATTACACAAACACATGAACAGCGTACATAGAATTATCAGACAGTAAGCTTCTATTCAAGACCTCACATGGCCCCCTTCTATACCATTTTTGGGGCCAACATCCCCACCTATGGGTGCATCAGTGATCTGGCTGCTTCCCTCAAGACCCAGTAACGTGACAGCATTTGCCCCAGGATAGCTCCACTCTGCAGGATTGCAGCCCCAATGACAGCTTTCAGTATCACACCCCGATGAACAGCTCTTCCCTTTCCATGTTATGGAAAACAGTCCCACTCCCATCTCCTCCCATTTTCCTGCCACAGTCTAAGCTAGTGCTCTGGCTGCTCCCCTCAAGACCCAGTAACGTGACAGAATCTGCCCCAGGTAGTCACTCTGTAGGATAGCTCCACTCTGCTTGATTGCAGCCCCAATGACAGCTTTCAGTATCACACCCCGATGAACAGCTCTTCCCTTTCCATGTTATGGAAAACAGTCCCACTCCCAGCTCCTCCCATTTTCCTGGCACAGTCTAAGCTTTGCTTTCAGTTACAGTAAGAGGAATCTGTAAGACAGGGAGACGCAGCGTCTGCCAGGGACATACCTAATACCTGTCCCAGGTGTTGGCTGTGAGCCACTCCTAGCTGAGCAGGGGACAGACCCCACCATACAGCACTGGTGTTTGTGTCTGAGGGGGCAGAGGAGGAAATTGGGGGATGGAGGGAGAGTTGCAATGTCTCCTTACTGGTCAGTCGGCAGAGGTTGCCCAGGACAAAATGGCTGATGCGGCCTCTGTGCGATAAGGCCCCCAACTCTACTGGAGAGGAGCGATCACACCCCTGGGCTCTCGGGGATGGAGAGTGCGATGGTGGAAGTACCCCAATCCAGGTCCTGATTTTCCAGGAAATTTTTTAATACACTTTTGAAATAAACCCTCCGTCTCTTTAAGACAGGGTACCTCTCATGCTGAGCAAGTGCCTGTCTGTGGAAACACTAAGGACCAGCCGATAGAGGGGAGGACTATATTAGCCGGGCAGCTAGGCAGCATGGATGAGAGGGCTCAGAGGTAACCGCATTGGAGTTTGCTCTCTGCCCAGTTGTGATGCTATTTCTCTCCTCTCATACATACAATGAAGGAGAGAGGGGAGAGTCAGGACTCCTGGGGTTGGTTTCCCTGTGTGCTCTTCTGTGAGTCGCTCACTCTTTGCCTCAGGTCAACTTCTTTATGATCTCAATGTGTTCACGGTGCCGTTCCCTTGACAGCTGCAGTGAAGCTTCTTCAGTGACAGGTGCTGCATGGTGGGATGATAAATACAGGCAAGAACTATTGATTTGTGATCCCTTAGCAACAGCCCTGAGTGCTGTGGAAAGTGTTTGTCTCCCCTCAGCCACCTGTCTGCAGATCTGTCTCTACTGTCTGCCCAGCCATCCTGGGCATTTCCCTGTCAGCAGATCAACTCTAGAGCACTAGGCATCAACCCTCGGTTCCTTGTTTCTTTTACTAATTGATTATAGTTTTGGACACAAATACACAGAGCAGCCAATTCCCTTGTGGCTCAGCAGAGATTCTGAATCATCCCATATCCCCGTAATGACTGTTCAAAGCTAAACCTGGCTAATGAGCCCAGAGATATAGACATGGAGACAGCGACCCTGTCCTGAGTGTCCCCAGTCTCCAGCCTGTTTACATCCAGCTGTACCTTCCCCTAGGTGCTGAGCGATGCCCAATGGGATGACCCAGAGCTGCCTTATAGACTTTGCATTCTCCACTACAGCTCTTACTTGCTGCAGACGGTGCGGTGAGAGAGGTGCAGGACAGATTCCCTGGGAAGAGACTTCCACCTCAGGATTCACAGGTACCGTCCTCTCCTCCTACATCCCCACTGCATTATGGGTGTGCTGGGAGTGCTGGAAGAGGGAGTTAGTCTGTGGTCTTTTTTGCACTGCACAGACCCTGAACCTCTCAGGGCCCTTCCCATTCTTACATAAGAACATAAGAACAGCCAGGCGGGGTCAGACCAACGGTCCATCCAGACCAGTGTCCTGTCCACTGACAGTGGCCAATGCCAGGTGCCCCAGAGGGAGGGAAAAGGACAGTGATCAAAACTCTCAGGCTGTGGCCCATGGGTTGCTCAGATTCTACGAAGGGAAAACTCTCCTTGGAGGAAGAATTGAACAAAGCCCTCGGTGGCCAGCTGTGTGTTCATGCCCAGACACTGTCACCACCTCCCCTCACATCTCAGGGCTCTGGCTGCTAACAGGATGGCTGTTTCATCACTTTTATCTCTTGCAAAGCCAGGAGGTGACGGGGCTCCTCACTGTTACAGATTGAAGGATTTTCCAATGTGGGCCACAAACCTTCTCTCCTGTTGCATTAGAGGAGGAGGCTGAACTGTCATGTCTGAAACGTTCTAATAACTATCTACACCGCAGCAAGCCTCCCTTGGGGCAAAATTTCCATCCAAATGATTAACAACAGTCAAAGTGATTAACAACTATAATGAGACCTTCTAATTGACAGTGCCAGACAGTCTGCACTCAGTGTGAAGTAGGGGAATTTACAGGAGTTTGGGGTAACTGGCTCTCTGGAGTGTGTGTGTTTGTGTTTGGGGGTTCTGGGCTTGTGTTCGTTTGTTTGGAGTTTCATGTGCTGCGCTGTGGAGAAACATAGATATCTGGGTTTGTGATGACTGGAAGAACTGTCTGGTGACTTGCCCGCCTGGTGCTAATGTTGCTGATCTCTCAAGGCATCTAGATCGACATATGTGTCATGCTGTGCAGGAGACAGTGGACATGATACATGTATGGAAAGGTAGGAGAGAGGTTGTAGAAACCAAATTTAGGCTGCTAGGAAAGTGACTGAAATCCAGGGCCTATATGGTGGAATTCTCAGAAATGCTTCCAGGTTCGCGTGCATGGCCAGGTAGGCAGGCAGAGCTTCAGAGTCTCAAAACATGGATGAGATGGTGCTGTAGGGAGGAGGGGTTTAGATTTATTAGGAAGTGAGGACACTTTCGGGAGAGGGGGAGACTATTGAGGAAGGATGGGCTCCACCTAAACGAGGGTGGATCCAGACTGCTGGCACTAAACATTAAAAAGGTCGTAGAACAGTCTTTTAATTAATTGATGAAGGAAAGCCGGTTGGTGTGGAGGAGCACATGGCTCAGGTCGTGATTTCTGTAAGAGGAGAGTCTATTGACAGAAATTCTCTAGGTTTTAGGCAGGAGGAGTGTATGGAAGAGGATAAAGTATGTGCCAAATCATATGGAAAACAATCACATAAAAAAAGGAGGCTATTGACATAATAGGCATCAAAAGAACCTGGTGGAACAAGGACAATCAGTGGGACACAATCATACCGGGATATAAAATATATCGGAAGGCTAGAATAGGCCATGAGGGTGATGGAGTGGCACTATATGGGTACGTCTACACTACATGCCTCTGTCGGCAGAGGCATGTAGATTTGTTTGTTCAGCAAAGGCAAATGAAGCCGCGATTTAAATGATCGCGGCTTTATTTACATTTACATGGCTGCCGCACTGAGCCGACAAACAGCTGATCAGCTGTTTCTCGGCTCGCGCGCTAGTCTGGACGTTCCCCCTGTCGACATCAAAGCCCTTTGTCGGCAGCCCCGGTAAACCTCATTCCACGAGGAATAACAGGGCTGCCAACAAAGGGCTTTGATATCGACAGGGGGAACGTCCAGACTAGCGCGCGAGCCGACTAACAGCTGATCAGCCATGTAAATGTAAATGTAAATCATTTAAATCGCGGCTTTATTTGCCTTTGCTGATCTGTCCTCGCGCGCTAGTCTGGACGTTCCCCCTGTCGACATCAACGCCCTTTGTCGGCAGCCCCGGTAAACCTCATTCCACGAGGAATAACAGGGCTGCCAACAAAGGGCTTTGATGTCGACAGGGGGAACGTCCACACTAGCACGTGAGCCGACAACCAGCTCATCAGCTGTTTGTCAGCTCAGCGCGGCAGCCATGTAAATGTAAATGAAGCTGCGATCATTTAAATCTCGGCTTCATTTGCCTTTGCCTATGTGTCTAATCTACATGCCTCTGCCGACAGAGACATGTAGTCTAGACACAGCCTATGTGAAATATCATGGAGAATCAAATGAAGTAAAAAACTGGTAATCTATAAGCACCTGAAAATTGGATAGTTACGAAGAAGCAGATAAGGATCAAAGGATATCAATTGGATAGGATTGAATTGTTCAGTCTATCCAGAGAAGTCAGCCTCCGCTTTTCTCACAGCCGCTCTCACAAGCCCCCTTTACATCAGCTGTGTCTTTTCTAGAGACTGGGGGATGAAAACTGAGCAGATGTCCTGAGCAAGTTCTTCTTCATCCCAGTCCTTTGGCATCCCACAACTGTCCTGGCTTAGGTCCTGACTGTGACTGAGCAGGGGTTTCTGTGCAGTCGATCGCTGTCACCCCCATTGCTTTTCACCGAGGGTTGTTCTAATTAGGATGGGTTTGCGTTTGGGTATTTTCCTACTCACATTTTCATCAACCTGGCGAACGAGGGACTCTCTACAGCATGGAATATCTAGCCTAACGTTCCAGGCATTAAGAACCAAAGGTGGGTAACAAGGGCCAAAACACCCTCTTTCCAGATGGTGCCTATTAAGGTTTCCAAGGTGATGACACATTATTGAGCATGGAGCTCCATTAAATATGGAATTCACGTTAGAAAATCCAGCTGTGCATCAATCATTTATCTGAACAGTGAAATTGTCACATTTCAGTGTGTGAATAAACCAGTCTGACCCAACCATAACACCAGCTGTGTTGTCTGATATGAACATTGTCTCTCCTTTCAGGATTTCTCCGACAACCCTCATCCTAGGCAAAGAGCAACAAGAAGTCCGGAGAGCGTACAGTGCACACAGGAGGCATTGCACTAACTCACAGTTCAACCCATTCTCCTTTGTCCCATGTCGGATTTCAACTCAACCAAGGTCACCAACCCCTCCACCTTCATCCTGCAGGGCATTCCGGGCCTGGAGACAGCTCATGTCTGGATCGCCATCCCCTTCTGCACCATGTACATCATAACCATCTTGGGGAACTTCACCATCCTGTTCATCGTGAAGACAGAGCCGAGCCTCCATGAGCCCATGTACTATTTCCTCTGCATGCTGGCCATGACTGACCTGGGTCTGTCCACATCCATCGTGCCGAAAGCACTGAGCATCTTCTGGTTCAATTCCAGGGAGATCAATTTCAGTGCCTGCCTCACCCAGATGTTCTTCATTCACTGCTTCATAACAATAGAGTCTGGAATCCTTGTGGCCATGGCTGTGGATCGCTACGTGGCCATCTGCCATCCCCTGAGACATTCCACCATCTTGACAAACGCTACAGTAACCAAAATTGCCCTGGCCATGGTGCTGCGTGGGGCCTTGATCACATTGCCCTTTGACAGTGGTCTTACTGCAGAATTAACATAGTCCCCCAGCTGTACTGTGCACACATGAATGTAGTGTGGCTGGCGTGTGGTGACACCCGAGCCAGTAGTCACTATGGCTTATTTGTGCTACTCTGTCTGAAGGGTCTGGATGTGTTTTTTATTGTTGTGTCCTATATTCAGATCCTCAGGGCCATCTTCAGACTCCCCACAAAGGACGCCCGGCTCAAAACTTTTGGGACCTGCACCTCCCACCTCTGTTCCATTTTAGTGTTTCACATCCCAGGTCTCTACTTCTCCCTCTCGGGACGATTTGAGGAGAAGAAGCCGCACCCTGTCCAAGTTCTTATTGCCAACATGTACTACGTGATGCCCCCCATGCTAAACCCCATCATCTATGGTGTGATGACCAAACAGATCCGGAACCAGATGCTGCATTTCTTTGTTTACAAAGGTGCCTAATTGCTGTGGCTCACAGATCTTGGTTTGTGCAGAGTTGGCTGGGGAGATGGTGCTCAGCCCTCTTCACTGAGTTGGTCAGTCAGAGAGTCATTCAATCCTGTCCTGATCTTACTCTGCTCTGTCAACAAGAATAACTGGGCTATTGCTCTGGGTGGAACTCGTTAACTCTTCAGGTGTCCAAGTGTCTAATTTCTTTTAATTGTCTCCCTGCTTCCCTGGCTAGTCCCTCAAACCCTGGCGCCTACACCACTTTAATCCCATCGGGCTCATTCCCTTCTTCATTGTATCCCCCAGGTCTCCACTTCTGTTCTGACACTTCCATCAAAGTCCAGCACTTTTGCTCACTCCTCTCCTCCCCTTCTGTCCCTCGCTGGAACATCCTGATCTCTGTCCTCACCAGCCAGGCTCTCTCTCTACCAGGGTTGGGATGGAAGCTGCTACAAACCGACAAGGAGTCAGTCAGAAGGATACAGCTCTGGAGCCAGCAGGACAGCCAGGAGTGGGGGATAAAATCATGCAAATTTGGCTTATTGTGGTGTGGAAGAGGTGCAGGCTACATACATGACCACTGCAATTGGCAAAACAGAGATTGTGGCTTTGTGCATCTTGTTCACTGATCTATGTGAAGGTTAATGTAGTTTAACCTGAGTGTAATTGTCCTAGTGGTTTGCAGTCTTTCAGTGAATTTTCATTATCAATAATTGTACTGTTCCTTGGAGACAGAGGTCTGCACTCAAACATTCCAGTGCTGATCGATGTTCCTTTGCTGCACTCTCATCTTTGAATTTGAGGGGAAGCTCAGGGAGTTGGTTTTGTTTAGTCTGCGGAAGCAAAGAGTAAGGGGTGATTTGATAGCAGCCTTCAACTTCCCGAAGGGAGGGTCCAAAGAGGATGGAGAGAGGCTGTTCTCAGTGGTGGCAGATGGCAGAACAAGGAGCAATGGTCTCAAGTTTTGGTGGAAAAGGTCCAGGTTGGATATTAGGAAAAACTATTTCCCTAGGAGGATGGTGAAGCCCTGGGATGGGTTACCTAGAGAAGTAGTGGAGTCTCCATCCCTAGAGGTGTTTAAGTCTTGGCTTGACAAAGCCCTGGCCGGGTTGATTTAGTTGGGATTGGTCCTGCCTAGAGCAGGGAGCTGGACTTGACGACCTTCTGAGGTCTCTTCCAGCTCTACGATTCTAGGATCTCTTTAATGAAGCATTTTTTCATTGCTGAGACCCTCTAAGTCCTGGAGCCCAAGTCCCTGCTTCCACACTCGGTTTGATGCTCCCAGCCTGGGTATGAAGCCTTGGCCCATGAGTGAACAATGCTCTGCAGTACAAATTCAGTACACCAAAGTCACCTTTACCCATTGGCAGCCTGAGCCCATGTGGCACAGACATTCCGGTGGCTCTAACAGGGTCAAGATTGACTCGACTCTTTGTCACTCTTCTTCATATAGGAGTGTCCAATTTTTACCCTGGCCAGGAGGACGACCCCACCCTCCCCTGGGTTTAGGAACAGGTTCACAGAGACGTGACACAAGCTCTCAGAATTTCACAGTGCCCCCGACATGAGCCGACAGGGGATCCCCACCATCACATGGATTGAACCCCCCAACTCAGGAAGCCAGGACCCAGCTGGTTCTCCCCTGCTGTCCTTGGCACACCCAGAAGCTCTCCAAGAACATTCCACCCGCTGGCTATTTAGGACAATAGGAGACTCCGATTGATGTCTCACTTCTTCTGTCTGGGAGTCCATTTTGAGGTGAGACATGATGGTAGTTCCTGCCCTAAGGACCAATTAGCTGCCCCATTGGGAGTGTCATAAGTTCCTGAGGTCCCCTTGTCTGTAGTGAGAATCCCCATTTAGAGGGTTATACTGGATCTGGTGGGACCTCCTGAGCCAAACGGAACAAAAGGAGCAGACCTACCATGTCACTCCCTGGAAGCTTTAGTGAGCACGATAGACTTTTGAGTACTCTGTGTGCCCCTGCAAGGCCTGTCTCTATCTTCCTAATGTGCTTAGAACTGATGAGACACAAACAAATTGATGAAATAAAACATTATACTTCGTGAGCACCAGGTGACATTTACCTAAGAGTTTTGAAAGGACTGTAGTTTGTAACCCAGACCTTAGATCAACTTCTCTGCCTCTCCAGCATCATTAGCCACCAATCATGCTGCCTCCCTTCCCACTCCTACCAGGCCTGCTGGGCCCAGAACTGCACCTTCACAGCAGGCTCCTTGTCAATCAATGGCAGCTCCTATCCCAACCCGGGGAGTGGAGGGAGCCGAGACGGTGAGGATGTGGCTGAGGATGGTCCAGTGAGGGATGGAGCAAGGGGAATGTCATAGCTTCCTAACAGTCAGGATGGCTAACTATTGGAAAAAGTTGACCTGGGAGGTTCTGGAATCTCTATCACATGAAATATTTCATAAAAGGTTAGATAGACATCTGTCAGGGATTATCTAGATGGTAGTGAGTCCTACGACACAGGCAGGGACCTGGATTTGATGACCTCTCAAATTCTCTTCATGTTCTAGTGTTCTATGATTACATGAAAATGGCAAATGAATTGTAATATTAATAAATACAAAGTGTATCACTCCTGAAAGCACCTAGTCAGAGATTCTGAGGATACGTTGAAGAAGGGAGAATTCCAAGTGACTAGAAGAGATTGTTCTTCTGCCAAACAAAAGTGATCAAAGAGATGTTCACAACTATTAACCCATCTGCCTTCTTCCTCATCTTTATAAGCTTTTATGAGAATGATCTGTGCTGACATTAAGGGTGTCCTTGAGGAAAACCTAAGAACATAAGAACAGCCATACTGTGCCTTTCCTCCTGCACAGCACTGAAGCCAATAGGCAGAGGGGAGGGAAGTGTTTGGGGCAGGGAACTATTTCCCCACTCTGGTGGCAGTAAGATGGTAAGATCCAGCCCCATCTAGCCACTCTCCTGGTGGTGCATCTGCCCCAGGTAGTCGCTCTGTAGGATATCTCCCCTCTGCAGGATTGCAGCCCCACTGACAGCTTTCTGTATCACACCCCTACCAACAGCTCATCCCTTTCCATGTTATGGGAAACAGTTCCACTCTCAACTCCTCCCATTTTCCTGGCACAGTCTAAGCTTTGCTTTCAGTTACAGTAAGAGGACTCTGTAAGACAAGGGGAGGCGCAGCGTCTGCCAGGGACACTTGTTCCAGGTGTTGGCTGTGAGCCCGTCCTATCGACAAAGAGCATCCAGACACATTGAGTTCTGTCGACAAAGGAACCCTGTAGTCTAGACACAACCCTACAGTCTAGACGCAACCCTACAGGCAATAACACCTTCTGTCAACAGAACTCTGTCGACAGAAGGTGTTATGCCTCGTAAAATGAGGTATACCAGCGTTGACAAAACTGCTGAGTTCTGTCGACGTTATGTATAGTATAGTTTTGTCGACAAAACTCAGTAGTCTAGACACACCCTATGAGTCGCTCACTCTTTGTCTCAAGTCAACTCTTTTATAATCTCAGTGTGTTCATGGTACTGTTTCCTTGACAGCTGCATTTACGCTTCTTCAGTGACAGGTGCTGCACAATGGGATGATAAACACAGGCAAGAACTATTGATTTGTGATCCCTTAGAAACAGCCCCGAGTGCTTGTGGAAAGTGTTTCTGTCTCCCCTCAGCTGTCTGTCTGCAGATCTGTCTCTACTGGCTGACCTGCCCTCCTCGGTATTTATCTGTTAGGAGATCAATTCTAAATCACTAGGCATCAACCCTCGGTTCCTTGTTTCTTTTACTAACCTACTATAGTTTTGGACACAAATACACAGAGCAGCCAATTCCCTTGTGGCTCAGCAGAGATTCTGAATTGTCCCATCTCCCACTGGGAAGTCCCGTAATGACTATTCAGAGCTAAACCTGGCTAACGAGCCCAGAGGTATAGACATGGAGACAGAGACCCTGTCCTGAGTGTCTCCAGTCTCCAGCCTGTTTACATCCAGCTGTCACTTCCCCTGGGTGCTGAGCGATGCCCAATGGGATGGCCCAGACCTGCCTTATAGATGGAGCAATTCCTGCGATGGCTCTTTGCACGGGCCGCTGCTGCAGACGGTGCGGTGTGAGAGTTGTGGGACGTGGCTGCGTGCGCTAGATTCCCTGGGAAGAAACTTTCACCTCAATATTCACAGGTACCCTCATCTCCTCCTAGATCCCCAATGCATTGTGGGTGAGCTGGGTGTGCTGGGAGTGGGAGTTAATCTGTGGTCTTTTTTGCACTGCACAGACCCTGAACCTCTCAGAGCCCTTCCCATTATTCTTCATAAGAACACAAGAACAGCCAGACTGGGTCAGACCAACGGTCCATCCCGTTCAGTGTCCTGTCTGCTGACAGTGGCCAATGCTAGGTGCCCCAGAGGGACGGAACAGGACAGTTAAACCTCATGGCTACGTCTATACTGGCATGATTTTCTGGAAATGTTTTTAACGGAAAAGTTTTCCGTTAAAAGCATTTTCAGAAAATTTCGCCTAGATTGGCAGGACGCTTTTCCACAAAATCACTTTTTTCAGAAAAGCACCCGTGCCAATGTAGATGCGCTTTTCTGCAAAAAAGCCCCGATCGCCATTTGTGCCATCTGGGCTTTTTTGTGGAAAAGAAATCTCTGCTGTCTACTCTGGCCCTTTTGCGCAAAAGTCTTTCAGAAAAAGACTTTTGCCCGAACGGGAGCAGCATAGTATTTCCGCAAAACCACGGACAATCTTACATGAGAGCGTTAGTGCTTTTGCGGAAATTCAAGCGGCCAGTGTAGACAGCTGGCAAGTTTATAGAGCCAGAGTTTATAGAGCCTGCTAGTAAGCAACCAGGGAATTTTGTGAACTGGGCGATGGCAAACAGGAGGGAATTTTGAGAGGGGAGTGTAGAAGGGGCGCTTAGAGGGAGCTAGCTTCTTTATACACTCTTTGAAACTTGAGATTAAACTATATCCCAAACAATAAATAACTCCCCCATATAGAGCCTTATTATTCATAGG